ATGACTTATTTTTTGTCTTAGATTTAAAAATTTTCAGTGGGTGGGTAAATTAATTATCACATGTGGTATTTATCCGTTTTTGTACAGAACTTTGCTGACCAGTTTCCTAAATTGAGAACGCAATTAATTCAAACACGAAGATCTTACCTATAAAGGAGAGAACTAAATCTTTCAACACATATCAGATATTAATAATATGGACAGCAAAAATAGCCGGATTTTTATAAAACATGCTTTTTAGAAAAAGGGTTTCAGACCGCAGATCTTTTAAAACAGCTATATAATAATATGTAATTATGATGTCATTACCTCAACAATGACCAAAAATCAAAATTCGGCCTTTTCTGCTGTCCACGTCCCATATATGGTAATATTCCATCTTCCATCTTCAATAATCGTAATCACCTTCTTAATCATCTTCACAATCAATATATAAATTCAGTTGAGCAATAATAGATTTAATGAAAACAGGAGTTACTATTTTGTATTTTATTAATATAATTAATCTAAGGCAATTATTATAATCTTTTTACACAAGAATTTGGCGTTGATGATACAATAATGGATAAAAAAAATTACATTTGAATCATTAAACATGAAATATTGTTATAAATCAGCATGTAGATTTTTATTTGCTTACTTTATTCAACAAGAAACAAGCATTTTAACCTTTAAACAATTGGGGCGTGTAATGGTGGTGGTGTTGACAGATGTTGGAGACTCAAGCTATCGATCAGCTAACATAATCAAAGTTTTATGTGATTATTTTCATCATTTTGATTTTATTGCAGAGAGTTTGTAATGAGTACTTTATTGAATGTACTGAGGATTAGATCTAAACAAATTATATTGTAAAAACAATGTAAAATTCTATAATTTTTTTTACGCAATAAATAATCAAGTCAAATTATCTAGTTGGACATTTACTTCCTTTGAAATCTAATATAACGATGACTATCGACTTTTTGGATGTTTCTTTCCAGAAATAAAACCACCGTTCCCATATGCAAACTATATCTAATAAACGATATAGAAAGTGCCAAATCAGAATTAGGGAAATACATTATCGCATGAAAACTGCCAAGGCTAAATTTTTGTCACGTTGCGCCAACAACTTATTGAAAAATTTTAAACAGGATCATAATATTCAAATACGCCGGGTCAAAAAATCTCGGTCATCAACCTTTAGAAATTTCACAACATCATCACAATGTAATGAGTAAGTTGGGTTCAGAATTCAAATCTGTCATTGAATTTACTTGGAGATATAAGCAATCACCCAAAACACATGGATGTGTTTGAAGGTACTGGTGTTAATGACATAATCAAGACCATTGTGTTAGGGAATCTAGTTGCACATCAGGAATTATTGACGAAAGAAAGAGATTCATCATCATGTTGGATTTTACTTTGGAATTACATTAAAGAAAATTATCTTTTTTACTGTTTTGTTTGGTCTATAAGCTTTAACTATTTATTTATAAAATGCCGTATTACGGTCTCTTTCTAAGAATTAGTGGGGGGGGGGGGAGGAGAAATTAAGTGATAATAATAATAATATAAAATAAAAAAAAACTATCTGAAAGACTTGTCTAAAAATTAATAATCATCTACTATATAGATTAAAAATAAATCTTGATGTACTCTATAATTTGAGAACGACACACCACACAGGTTTCAACTTTCGATGCACATTTCCCACATGCAACAAAATGATAACAGGGCGAGAAACAATGAGTAATTGGTTCCTCGAAGCAGATCTTACATTTGATTACTTGTTTTGCTTTTTCACCTTGTTCTTTTTCTCTAAGATTTTTCAAATCTTCATTTTCCTTTATCAAAGTTCGAATAATTTCATTATATTTATAAACCTTATTAACACATGCTTCACTAATCTTTATCTCCCTATCCAATTCTAATTCTAATTTTCCCACGTTTTTACTGTACATACTTTTCAAGCGGGCTATTTCCTTTTCTTGATCGCTAGACCTGGACACAAATTGTTCAATTTTTTCATCCTTTTCCAAATGCTCTTTCTCTAAAAATGAGATTTTTTTTAATAAATCTTCCTGTACTGACAGTTTTTCTTTTCCTTTATTCATATAAGAGGTACATTGGTGGTTGTCAATCTTTTCTTTTAATTCTCTTATTTCATATGTTTGACTGTTAACGACATGTTCAAGTCCTCCAATTATAGATTCGTTGATAGCACATTGTGAGTCTAGTTTGACATTACTTTTCATCAAGTCATTATTGATCGTTTCTAAACGATCGAAAGAATAATCTGACATACTTTTATAATTTTGTAATTTTATTAACTTATGATTTAATTGTTTGTTATAATCTTCAAGTTTGATATTTTCATCAATGGATATTTTTTTACTTGCTTCCAGTTGAACCTTTTCTTGGTATAGTTTTGCACAATCTGTCTCAAGCCTATTATTCTGGCCTTTGGTATCATTTAATTGCAATTTAAGGTGTTGGGCTTCATTTTCGGCCGTTTTCAACTCTTCAATAAGTTTGTTAAGATGCTTGTTTGAATCATTAAGACATAATTTCAACATACTAATCATAGAACTGTCTTCTTGTTTCTGTTGGTTTGATTGTCTCAATTTGTCAAGTTCATCATTAAGTTTCGAAATTTCAGATGCCAATTTCTTACATTCTTCCTTATAGTTATTAATGTATTCCGATTGTTTCAATTTGTCAAGTTCATCATTAAGTCTCGAGATCTCAGATGCCAATTTCGTATTTTCTTCCTTATAGTTGTTAATAATGTATTCTGATTGTTTCAATTTGTCAAGTTCATCATTAAGTCTCGAGATCTCAGATGCCAATTTCGTATTTTCTTCCTTATAGTTGTTAATGTATTCTGATTGTTTCAATTTGTCAAGCTCATCATTAAGTCTCGAAATTTCAGATGCCAATTTCATATTTTCTTCCTTATAGTTATTAATGTATACATCAAGACTATCTTCATTATTATTATCTATAACAATACTATCATCTTTAAAATTATTATCATCATCATGATTACTCACAATGATACTATCGTCCTGACCATTATTAATACACATTTTATCACTATCACCCGCATCACCAATATCACTTACATTATTACCATCATTCTCGCCATTATTATTACACATGATAAGACTATCTTCAACTGCTTCATGACTACTTAGAATAATACTATCATTAACTACATCATCTACATTAATACTATCATCCTCACCAATATTAGTACTCGTGATAATACTATCATCGTCATCACCATGATTGCTCACGTTAAAGTCATAGTTATTATTATTTATGGAAACACTGTCTTCCTGACCATCTTTATTATTCACAGCGATGCTATTTTTCTCATAATCTTTAATACCCATGATAATATTGTCTTTCCCATTAATATTACCACTATCCTCATTATTACTCTCAACGCGATCCTCCTCCTCTTCCTCCTCAAGATTTAGTAATTCTTTTTCTTGAGCTTCAACGAAGTATAAAAGTGTCTTCTTATAAATATAGAATATATAAGCACTGAGTAAAAGTTTAACGAAAAAATAAATCATTTTATTTATTTATTATCTTTTTTTAGTTGAGGAAGGTTAAGATTGGCGGTGTAGGAACTTGATTGTGCCATGAATAAATTTTTTTGCAGATAATTTCCAAAATTGCATTTAGTAATTTTGGTATTTCGAACTATTATATACTATCCTTAATTTCCAAGAAAAATGGAATGCCATTTTTTTTAGGTTAGGTTCAAATTAGAATTTTAATTTTAAACATACTAATACGTAAACTTGATAAGTCTCAGTCAGGGATACTTATCAAGTAAACCGAGTTATCAAATTTCATAACAATAAAAATTTATCAAAATTTATAAAACTCCCAAGGTAGATAGTAGGTTACTTTAGAGAAGCATTTTGTTTTTTCTAATTTGATGTTGCAAGTCTCATTTCTGATACTATTGAACTATTTACCTTATATTGGAATTCTGTTGCAAATTATATTTGATATTAGAATACCCATATTTTTGTCCTCTTCTTCTGGTGCTTCTTGTGCTGCAGCAGTTACCTCATCATCATCATTAATCTTCCAGCCGTTTCTATTTTATAATCAATTAATTAGTAAATAAGCATACACAGCCAAAACTGAATCCTCAGTTATATAAGTATAACCTTGTTACAACAAAATGGCTGGGCATATAAGAAAATTTCGTTGAAACAAGATTACTAATCGTGTTTCAACAAAGTTTTCTTATATGTGTAACAAAATTTTTAAAAAAATTCGTTAAGAATTTAATTATAATTCGTTGAACAAGGTTTAATTCCTTGTATATAACGAGAGTCAGGAGTATTGCCCACTGCAAACGAGCTTTGATTTCATTCGTGTAACAAAAACTACCCACCAATCAAAAATTCGAAAATAGTCATGTGAGTAAATATCACGTGAAACCGACTTATAGGATGATAATTATTACTAATCACGATAAGCTTTTTTAATCCATGAAAATATCAAATTTTGTTCCACGGATGATATTATTATTATAGCGTTAATTAGGAAACCGTGGTGATAATTAATGATATTAATACCTTTGGTTTCCTGTAAAATAACTATTATAAAGATTGACCAACCGACTTATCAAGGATTTTTTTCAAGATTTTCTTTTGAGGTTTAACTTCCTGACATTATGCAGTCTACCCCATATGGTTAATTTATAATTTAATTCCATTAAGTAATCAAGAAAATTTTAACAATGCATTCCCAAGTATTAATTTCAAAAAATTTTACGCACATAACAATTATAGAAAAGAATTTTTTATTTGAATACATCGTTCAAATAAGATGACGATACCCAGAGCTGGAAATTGGTAATTATAACTGATCACTTTTGCAACATAAAAAAAGTAGAGAAATAATATCAACTTGTCAATTAAAATTGTATGAACACAGACTTTTACTGTTAGGCATTTTGAAGAAAATATTTCTATCTTGCTTTAAAACTCGACAGTTTTTTGACTTATCTTCTTCTTCTTTTGAACATATTTGGTATTAATATCTGATTCATTTTGTGATAATGGTCGCTTTTCTACTTGACTATTTACTACCAAGATATCATTGCCATTATGATCTTTAACAACTTGACTCTTATTATTGTATTCATTAACAATAACACTATCATATTCATTACTATTATTATGTTCAACATTATTATTATGATTTTCTAATTTATTAGGACGTTTTACTTGAGCTTCGTCTATGCTAATAATTGATGGTGACCTAGAGCTAGAAGATTGAAAAGAAATTGATATTGAAGATCGTTGTTGACTGATAATGTAATCAAAATCTTCACTGGACAGCTGTGATAGACAACTGGACGATGATTCCGGCGATGAGATTGTAAATGGTGATGAAGGTGCTAATGGTAACATTTGTTGCATCGAAGGATGTAATGGAGGTGATCCTTGTGATACTGAGAGCAATGATGAATCTGATTTTGACTTGATAGATGACGACAACAGTGGAAAAATTTGTGTTGATTTCAATGGTGGTGATTTTAATGGTGATGATTGAGCCATTATTCTTTTATTATTGATATTATTTTTATTGTCATGATTCGTTGATTTCGATTTCGATTCAGACTCAGACTCGGACTCACTTGAAGCGGATAAAATCTTTTCTTCAACATTATTATACTCCTCATCGCTGCTAATTTCTAATTTCTTGTATTTTCTTTTTTTAGAATAAAAAGTTTCAATCGTAGGATATGGTAATGATCTTTGTTGTTGCTTTCTTACAATCAAAGTATCATTGTAATTTTCCTCATCGTTATCTTCATTTCCGGCTGCTACTTCTGGTACTTCATCGTCATCTTCATTATTTTCAATTAGTTCATAGGATGGATATAACGGGAGTGATACTGGCAGTAAACTTGGATCGGGAATTTCATAAATTTTAGCACTTTTATTGGTGGATTGTGACATTGATGATCTATCTAAATTGTTGTTGATGACGTTGGCAGTGCGTTTTCCATTATATGAATTATTACTTTTGATAATAGTTTTATTTGATCCTGATGAACTTTTGGTTCTATTCTTAGTAAAGGTAGCTGATGATGACGATGAAGTTGATGATGATGATGATTTACCAAATTTAATATGTCGTAATTGCTCTTGTTGCTGATTACTTTGATTTTTTGGTTGTTGTTCTCTCAGATTATTTTGAGTTGTTGATTTTTCCTGTCGTTGTTTATCCTTTTGATGATGATCTTGAGTTTTTGGTTGTTGATGTTGATTGTTCTGATGATCTGGAGCTTTTGGTTGTTGATATTGAACTCGTGATTTTTGTTGTTGTTTTCGGTTTCTTTGAGTTTTTGACTGATCTTGTCGTTGTTGATCCTTTTGGTGATGACATTGAGCCTCGGATTGTTGATTATCTTGATGATCTGGAGTTTTTGGTTGCTGATGATCTTGATCCTGTGACTTTTGTTGTTGTTTTTGAATTTTTGACTGATCTTGTCGTTGTTGATTCTTTTGGTGATGACCTTGAGCTTTGGATTGTTGATTATCATCGGCAACCAAAAATTCTGGATCATCAAGATCTTGAGCCTGTGACCTTTGTTGTTGTTTTTGACTCCCTCGAGTTTTTGGCTGATCTTGTCGTTGTTGATCTTTTTGACGACTTTGGGTTTTTGTTCGTTGTTGATTTTGCCGTCGTTCATTATTTCTTTGATTATTTTGAACGCTTGGTAGTTGTTGATTTTGTGCTTGTTTTTGTATTCGTACATTCGAAAGTCCTTTATAATCAGCTGGATTTTGAAGCTCATGTTTATTTACAGAATCAAGTACTATTTTATATGACATTAATTTGTCCATTTCAGTTTGATTTTGAACAGTTTGTAATATTGACAAATCACTCAAAATCCAATGTGCATTCTCTAATTTATCTACAATATTTCCTCCATTATTCTATTTTTATTTATAATCATTGTTATTATTAACAAAGTAGATTTATTATGATAAATTAATATTTTTGGCGTTTTTAACGCCCTTTTACCATGCAATAATCACCACCATCATCATCATCACATTGATACACACCTCTATAAATCGTCTGATATCCATACTGTCAGGTACATTGCTTTTAATATAAAATAAAATTTTAACACCATTGATGGTAAAAATTGACATTTTTTTCTATTGTGAACAAATCAATTTTATAAAACAAAAAATAAAAAGGCATTTATTTGGACGCAGCAGATTGATAAAAACACGTGGGATGATCAATTTTCAAAAAAAATTAATTGACATTCTAAAATTACCTAGGGGTGTGGGGTTCAACAAGAATGTTACACGCTAGTGCAGTTGACTCTGTTTATACCGAACCCCCTGTCATGAGAATATAGCCAGCTAGATGTGTCATGTGTTGGCAACATATATAATTTAATTTGGTTCAATAATATTTATCAGAAAAGCTTATAAGAGTTATTTTTAGTAATATGAAATTATAAAACATTCTCAAATATAAATAAAAATCTTATCAATCTATCCAGAAGAAGCAATGAATGGAAATAAAAGAAACAAATAAAAGTAACAAAAGTATAAAGAATTATGAAATATAATTTATGCATTGCTATCAAATCATCTGGAAATTTGAGGATATTTATAATAAAGTATTAACATTATTAATCACGCGAATTCTTTTTTCTTACAAAAAAGTCATGACATAATATTATTAATACTAATTAATAATATGTAAATGCAATATAATTAATTTGACAATAGTTTGATTGAATGATTTTTTGTTCTGAGTGGCAATGGTTACGTTTTTTTTGATATTCTAAAATGTTTTAAAAACGAAATTTTGCATTATGTTACACATGATATTACATGTGTTCATGTGAAAATTCGTTATAGGAAGAGCAAATTAAATAAGAAACTTCAAAAAAGGTGAGCTCGGATTCGTTATAAACAGATTTATTAATTATAAAAATTCGGTCATGATGTATTAGAAAACATCTTATCAGAGAAATGTCCTGTTGGGGAAAAATGGACGCAACCTTTTAAAATAGTTATTAGATTATAATTGATTCATCAAGAACAGAATTAGATGGATTATATTTATGTAACTTTTTTTTAATAAGATATTCATTAATTTACCACCCGAAGCTTTAATTGAAATATTCAAACGCATTGATGATGATGATATTGTCAGTAAACAACCTTATGGAGAAATCCATTTTAAAATAGTAATTAATTGTCTATTAATAGATGACAAAGAATTTTATTAAATAGCAACGTTGAATTAGCTTTTCAACTATTTGGAATTATTGATGGCTAGTTTAATAGGAAGATTATTAGTGGTCTGTAATAAAATTTGTTTGGATATGAAATTCTGATTGGCTATTTGAATTTCACAATTGCAGATTCAAATTTTTTTTTTCAGTTACAAAAAAATTTAGATCTTTATTTTAGAAAAAAATCATTTACTTTTTTTTCCATTTATCAATTCGTGTTGAGCGTATTGTATCTCCATTTGTGAGTTAAATCGTTACTTGCGCACACGGGTTTTTTACTTATTATTAAAGATAAAGTCAATTTTTAAAAGAAATCAAAAAAATGTCTAATTCAGAACTTGCTATCAGTTATGCTGCACTTATTCTAGCAGACGACGGTGTTGAAATTACTGTAAGTTTAATTATAAAATCTTTATTTCAAGAAAAGAGGAGTAAATAAATAAATAAATAATTTATTTATTTATTATTTATTCATGTTAAAATTGAAATTTTTTTCTTAGTCTGATAAATTAACAACTTTAACCAAAGCTGCGGGTATTGATGTTGAACCAGTATGGGCAAATTTATTTGCTAAAGCTCTTGAAGGAAAAAACGTTACTGATCTTTTAATGAACGTTGGTGCAGGTACAACATTAAAAAAATAGTTTATATGATTTCCTTGTTTTTCTGTTTGATAATTATTGTGACAATTAATTTGATCAATTAATCAATTAGGTGGTGCTCCCGCTGCAGCTTCAGCTGGTGGTGGCGGTACTACTGGTACTGCAGACGAAAAACCTAAAGAAGAAGAGAAACCCAAGGAGGAAGAGAAAGAGGAATCTGATGATGATATGGGATTCGGTAAATATAAATAAATAAATATGTTTTTTAATTTACCAATAGTTTGACGTTTTAATATTTTTCAAATCATTTTCTAGGTCTTTTTGATTAATTTGGGAAATTTATAATAATTATCACAACAACTATAATAATAAAAAACAAATTTGATATTTTTTTATTCTAAAAAAAAATAATAAATAAAGTTATTTATTATTAAATTATTAACAAGTGAGCATTGGTAAAAAAACCACATAAAAGAACATGAGTGAATAATATCCATCAATAGAATTTATGATATCCATTTATGTCCAGAAATGTGGAATATAAAAACACACAAAATGTCTTCGTCCAATTTATAATATATATTTTAAAAAAATTTATATTTTGGAATGTATAATTTTGACATTTACTTTTGCTAATTTTTCGATTTCTATAACGCATTCATATATAATTTGCGGTTTTCCAAAATGACAGTAAAAGCGGATGAATGTAAAACATGACAATGTTATCTATCTGAAAGATCCATTAATTAATTCTTTAATTACTTTGTTACAAGTTATTGTACCTTGGGCTTGGAGAAACAATATTCAACTTGCAAGAAATTTATTTTTAGAACATTCAGCCGTGATAATTATCTCTATATATAAAATTATCTGAATCTTTACTGATATACTCTCTAACAAATGAACCAATTTATTGCCACTTTTAAGATTTTAAATTTTTTGTATGTTCATTAAACCTGAGTCTTTTATGAAATTTTCAGTGTGGTAATTTGTTTATTATGATATATTACAATTTCAGGTTTTGGCTCTACTTAATATCGAAGTACTTATTTGATCAATCAATCTTTAAAAACAAACTTTTTATTCAATAAAGAATTATTATTCTTTTCTTTTATGTTTTAACAAACCCCGAATAATTCTCTGGTTTCTATGATTTCATTAAAACTACAGTTTGTTCAGTGTTGTTCTGGATTGAGATCCATTAAATTAAATTTATATGATGGTATTTGAATTATAAAGCCTTATTTTTCATTAGCCCAATTAAGAATTTAAAAGATTTCAATTCTAAATTCGTTAATTGCCATTCAACATTAAGATAATCTCTTAATATACATACATCATCTTTATCAGATACTTTTTTGTAAGGCCTGAATTTTTTATAAAATCATGTTAATAATGGAATGGTATCTTTTAAAATATTTTTCATTTATCTTTATTCCAATGCCTTATGATTTCCGATTTGAATGGCATAATATTAAACTTCACTTTCATCTAATTCTAACAAATCATTTTCCAATATGCTTATAAGCATTTATTTTCCAATGGCAGCAATATCATTGGATGTAAGAAATAACTAGATTACTTCTCATCTTCCCCAAGCATCATAGAAATCCGAATCAATCAACAAAGTTTTTAAATCATTTACAAGTTTACAAATATGTTTTAATGGTAGAGCATCACCTCTAGAATTGATAAGATTTTCAACTAATAGATTGAAATCTTCAAAGGAGACATTTTGAATAATTATTTTTTAAAATAAAAATTTTTTTATTTTGTTTCAGAAACTTCAAGTCTTCTGAACAAAAATTTTATTTTATAATTTTTTGTATAAATAAATATATTATATTAAAATAAGGATCCAATAAAATAAATTCTATAATCTCACTTATCTCCACATTTATAATTAATGCTTATACATATTTATATAAAAGTCATATATATCTTCCCATTATTCAACTTTGATTTTTGTTGGAGGAGCTATTGATGATCAATAAACAAAATAAATTAATAAAGCTTAAATAAATAAATAAATGATGCATCCATTCATTCATTTGATTATATACGTACCAACATATACACGACTCAAAAATTTCATTATTTCATCTATAAAAATAACAGGTAATGATATATATATGACTGCTTGCCATTCAGCCCAAGTTAAAGGTACAATTGCAAAAAGCATCTATAGAATTAAAATTACATCAATATTAATATTATTATTTTTTAACAAAGATTTTCATTAATAATAATAATGAGACTTACCGAAAAGAATGGAACATAGAGTATCATGAAATGTAATAACATTGAAAGACAAATCGAATATACAAGGTACATATTACTCCATACTGGAAGGGTTAATAGACTTTCATTTTCGCTGAGAGAGTTTGTGGCATTAAACATTTCAATGGTTACCAAAACAGAAAGTGACATTGTGGTTGCACGCATAGACATTACGTTAGAAAACATTTCACAACCAATTTCCGGAAATAACTCATTACACCTGTGAAAATTAGACTAATTATGAAAAAAGTGGAGTAAATAAAATAATTTTTTTGTCTGAAAAATTCATTGAAAGAATTTTCATAGAAAACATATAAATATAATTTTTTTACCAATTGATAAAAAGAAATTTGTGGTCCATCTTCATAAAACAAAAACCACCAAGCATATGCAAACACTGTAGCTGCACCAACATAAATACCAACAATAAGGTAGCGAAAGAACAGCCACTTTCCAACAATAGGTTCATGAGCATTTCTTGGTGGACATCTCATTATATCATGATCTGGAGGATTGAACCCAAGTGCAACAGCTGGAAGACCATCAGTTACAAGATTTACCCAGAGAAGTTGAACGGGTATTAATGCTTCTGGCATACCAAGTATTACTGTTAAAAAAATACTAAAAATATATATTACGGTTATATTGTCAATGTTCTTAATTTTAAATAAAAAATTTTAAATAGAAATGTATATCTATTTACCTGACAACTTCACCAATATTTGAACTTATTAAATAGCGGATAAATTGTTTGGTGTTATTATATATAGATCTACCTTCTTCAACAGCTCCTTCAATAGATGCAAAATTATCGTCGGCAAGAACCATATCAGCAGCTAGCTTGGCAACATCAGTTCCGGATCCCATTGCTATACCAATATCAGCTTTCTTGAGAGCTGGTGCATCATTTACACCATCACCCGTCTATTTTGTGATGATGTGAATAAGATTTATAAAGAAAAAGGAGATATATATATTTATTATTTATTTATAATATAGTACATACCATAGC